ATGCTTCCTTCCGCAGACAATCTTTATGGGGATGCTGACTTCATTTCCCAGCAGGACTTGGCACCTGCCCACATTGACAAAAGCACCAAAGCCTGGTTCAGTGACCGTGGGATTGCTGTGCTTGATTGGCCATCAAACTCGCCTGACCTGAACCACATAGTGAATCTATGGGAATTGCCAAGAGAAAGATGAGACATGAGACCAAACAATGCAGAAGAGCTGAAGGCCGCTATTGAAGCATCCTGGTCTTCCATAACACCTCAGCAGTGCCACAGGCTGATAGCTTTCATGCCACGCCGCATTGATACAGTAATTGCTGCAAGAGGGGCCCAAACCAAGTACTGAGTCCAAATGCATGCTTATACTTTTCAGAGGTCCGATATTGTTCTACGTACACTTCTTGTTTTTATGATTGCATGTAATATTCTAATTTACTGAGATTGTGGATTTGGGGTTTTCATGAGGTGTAAGCCATAATCATCGGAACTTATGACAAATCACAGCTTGAACTATCTTGCTTTGCATGTAATGCGTCTATCTCATATATTAGTTCCCCCTTTTACTTTGCATTACTGAAATAAATGAACTTTTGCACAATATTTTAATTTTTCGAGTATCACCTGTAGTTCCAATGAAGGATCGTCTTAATGCAATAGAATTCAAAGACAATTGTGGCAACAGTTTGAGGAAGGCCCTTTCTTGTTCCAACATGAGTATGCTCCAGTGCACAAAGCATGTAGACATTGTTTGTAGAGTTTGGTGTGGATGAACTCAAGTGGCTTGCACAGAGTTATTGCTTTCTCCTTCTTGAACACCCTTGGAATGAATTGTGAGCCAGACCTTTTTGTGCAACATCAGTGAATATCACAAATCCCCTTTTGGCTATATGGGAACAAATTTACAATCCGGAATTGTGGGTAATTCATTTCCAGAACAGTGACAGATGGTATAACCACAGTTATAATACTCATGATTTTGGAGTGGAATATTTGACCACATAGTGCTTATGTATTTATTCGACCAACTTACAGGTTTATAAAATATGCAAATAAATAGCCCTAAACATAGTATCTAGACTGATACCTAAATATCCATATGTAGATGTTACATGAAATGAAAATAAAACATAAGCAATCACTGAACTCTAAACAGTAGAGACTGAGTAGCTGATGTCACTCCATTCTGACTCTGATGCAGTGGCAAGAAAGCAGTTGTCAAGGATTGTTCAGTTTGGGGAAGTGTTCCTAAGCAATGCCATTTGTGACAAAACTATGTATTTTATTCCGCAAGTTAATTTCCCTGTGTTCGGTAGATAAGTCTACCGAACACCGACTACACCCCTGGCTCATTAACTTCAAATAAAACTACAGAATTAAATGCTCTCCTTGTGTGGCTGCCATTCGTATAAACGAACAACAAGTGCTGAAGAAAATGGCGGCCATCTTGTCACACGAAAGTAGGCAGTGGGACTTGGTCGTCGAGTGTCTGGAACTCTAAGTCAGACATTTGACCTCGTGAACACGGGTCAAACTTCACAAACGCCTGCTTCTTTCCACGACAAGCCAGGAATGTACTGTTTGGTAGGTTTGTTCTCTCGAACAAGGTGAACAAACGCGACCTATGAGCCAGGGGAACCATTCGTCTTTTTGTTCGTTTTGGAACTCCCAAAATTGACTGACCACTACCACTGATTTTATGGAACTGATTTGGGCAGGCACCTTGTGTGCGATCGATCAAAATTTTATCCCAGTAGCAATTCGGCTGTGTTCGTGGGATCTGAGCGCTATTTGGACAACTTGGGCACTCAGACCCAGGCTGTCCGTGGGTATTATAGTTGTGGGTGTTCCTCTATGTATTATATGTATTGTTAATATTTTATGTTTTCATACTTTGTAACTCTAGTGCCTGGGAGATAATTAGTTTAAGCAAAGTACACTAAATTATCTTCCAGACACAAAGACTCTGGGGCTTGTTGTAGGAGTGTCATGGGCGTGTTGTGGGAGTATTTTGCTTGAGACCTCCTGCTGGGGGTCTGTGTATAAAAGTGGTCCATCTGGCCATAATAAAACATTCCTGTTGTACCATTCATCAAGTCTCAACTGATTTTTGGGTATGTGACTGACAAATCGCTGGGTTTACTCTTACGAACAACTTAAATTTCGGGAACGAACGAATCAGCCCTCCATGCAAACGGGCTATAATCATGAAGTCCCTAGCATTTCGGGGGTATACAAACGAACAGGATATACGACATACCAGGCGTTCGTTACACCATTCATGTCAGATGGTTACAGGCTCTGGGTGTTAATGTAGTATCATCTACAGTGAGGGGAAAAAGTATTTGATCCCCTGCTGATTTTGAACGTTTGCCCACTGACAAAGAAATGGTCAATCTATAATTTTAATGGTAGATATATTTTAACAGTCAGATACAGAATAACAAATAGAAATTCCAGAAAAATGCATGTCAAAAAAGTTATAAATTGATTTGCATGTCAATGAGTGAAATAAGTATTTGAACCCCTATCAATCAGCAAGATTTCTGGCTCCCAGGTGTCTTTTATACAGGTAACGAGCTGAGATTAGGAGCACTCTTTTAAAGGTGTCCACAGAAGCAATCAATCAGATTCCAAACTCTCCACCATGGCCAAAACCAAAGAGCTGTCCAAGGATGTCAGAAACAAGATTGTAGATTTACACTAGGCTGGAATGGGCTACAAGACCATCTCCAAGCAGCTTGGTGAGAAGGTGACAATAGTTGTTGCGATTATTCGCAAATGGAAGAGACACAAACTAACTTTCAGTCTCCCTCGGTCTGGTGCTCCATGCAAGAGCTCACCTCGTAGAGTTTCAATGATCACGAGAACGGTGAGGAATCAGCCCAGAACTACATGAGAGTATCTTGTTAATGATACCAAGGCAGCTGGGACCATAGTCACCAAGAAAACATTTGGTAACACACTATGCCATGAAGTACTGAAATCCTGCAGCGCCTTCAAGGTCCCCATGCTCAAGAAAGCACATGTACAGGCCCGTCTGAAGTTTTCTAATTAACGTCTGAATGATTCAGAGGAGAACTGAGTAAGAAGTGTTGTGGTCAGATGAGACCAAAATCAAGCTCTTTGGCATGAACTCAACTCGCCGTGTTTGGAGGAGGAGGAATGCTGCCTATGACCCCAAGAACACCATCCCCACTGTCAATCATGGAGGTGGAAACATTATGGTTTGCTGGTGTTTTTCTGCTAAGGAGCAGAACAACTGCACTGCATCAAAGGGACGATGGACGGGTTCGTGTACCATCAAATCTTGGGTGAGAACCACCTCATGTCAGCCAGGGCATTGAAAATAGGTTGTGTATAGGTATTCCTGCATGACAATGACCCAAAACACACAGCAAAGGCAACAAAGGAGTGGCTCAAGAAGTAGCACATTAAGGTCCTAGAGTGGCCTAGCCAGTCTCCAGACCTTAATCCCATAGAAAATTTCTGGAGGGAGCTGAAGGCTTGATTTGCCAAACATCAGACTCAAAACCTAAATCACTTGGAGAGGATCTGCAAAGAGGAGTTGTACAAAATCCCTCCTGAGATGTGTGCAAATCATGTGGCCAACTTCAAGAAACATCTGACCTGTGATTGCGAACAAGGGTTTTGCCACCAAGTCGAAGGGGTCAAATACTTATTTCACTCATTGACATGCAAATCAATTTATAACATTTTTGACATGTGTTTTTCTGGATTTTTGTTGTTGTTATTCTTTCTCTCATTGTTAAAATACACCTACCATTAAAATTATAGACTGGTCATTTCTTTCTCAGCGGGCAGACGTTCAAAATCAGCAGGGGATCAAATACTTTTTTCCCCTCACTGTATAAATGGTGGTGGTGGATTAGAGCTAAATAGATTACAAGGATTAGTTAGATTAAAAACAAAAGAAGGAATGTATGTACGGTAATTTATATTTTTCACCCAATCAGAGTGCTCTGAGTCATTTTACACAGCGTGGGAAAATTCAAAAGAACTTTCCCACGCTGTGTAAAATGACACAGAGCACTCTGATTGGGTGGCTTGGGGTGGGGGCCAGGGGGGGGAGGACAGTAGGTCCCCCCCCCTTATTGTTTTACTAGGGCCCCCACCCACCGCGCAGGGATGGGGGCCGGGGGGGAGGACAGTAGGTCCCCCCCCCTTATTGTTTTATTAGGGCCCCCACCCACTGCGCAGGGGTGGGGGCCGGGGGGGGAGGACAGTAGGTCCCCCCCCCTTATTGTTTTACTAGGGCCCCCACCCACCGCGCAGGGATGGGGGCCAGGGGGGGAGGACAGTAGGTCCCTGTAAAAAACTAGATGAATGGATGTTCAATGTAATAATGTTGATTCTTCTTAATTTCTTCTCATCTTCGGTTGATTGATATATATACGTCTTTTGTATATATATTCTTGGGCCAAATGCTCGCCACAATAATATATGTCTATATTATTGAAAAGTAGTAATACTCAATCTGACTTACGGTTTCTTCAGGTTTATTCTTTGTTACGGATACATAATAAAGGATGTTACAGGATAGTGGACATTCAACAGCAGATGGTAATTGCTGGACTTCTGATGGGAGAGTTACATCGTTGTACAGAGCCAAGAGCCAAGCCAAGTGTGTGACTAAGACCTCGTGTCCCTCTGTTACTATATAGAAGTGCTAATAGTAACGTCAGCATATAACTCTAGCCATATAAGGACAAGACCCCCGAATCCACATTCCAGAGCTCTCGGACAAAGAAAGCCTTGTGACTTATTGATACCATCTGTTACTTATGTCAATCCACACATCCATATATATAATCAATAGAAACATAGAATATGCAATATTCTACATTCCCTCTGTTTATGGTTTGTCTTACAACCATAACACAATGTAATTAACCTGTCCATTCATACATCACTTGTATCACATTCATTGAGCATAGAACAAGATGTAGTCACAATTTTCTATTATATGAGAGTTCTTAGAAGGTAGAGTTTCTATCCCTCATAATGCTTACTTTACTTCAAAACTCCCTCTGTTTCAGCTATGTATTGATATCCATATCCATGTTACATCATAACTACTTGAACAATAACAATAATTATAACAATAATAAATGAATAAAATAAAATATTTACAAATGTTGATCCAATAAACAATAAAACAATTAGAAAGATCTACCTGCTCAGGTACAGTCGTCTTTGTAGATAACAAAATTAAGATGATAACTTTCTAGATAATAACTGTGTATCACTACCATATTCCTACAGACACATATAGCATAGTATTTTCATTCTTAATACCTGATATTACTTGAGTACTAATACATGTATTACTATAATATACGTCCAATTATATTTCCATGAATCATATGGTTTCTAGTAACCTTAAAATCTTTAGGTCATTTGTATTCATGAATTACATTCCTATACCATTAATACCACCTAGTGATGATTGTATCAGTACTTTACAATCATAGTATTTAATTTGAATATTCAGTAGGCTCTCACTACCTGAAATATATCAACACTACTTATAAGTCTCATTCAAAGGATGTGTTATCAACCATGAAGTTCTATAATAATTCTTCAATTTAGAAATTCTTCACCCAGAAATCTTTCTATCATAGATTTGTTTTAGTTTACATAATTATAATTTTCACTAAAATTCCACCTTGTAGTAACAAACTTTAAATTCAATAGAAACATAGTTTACTTTAAAAGAACTTGGAAAGAACAATTTAAATTCATTAGCATCACTCTCTTCATTAGCATTGTGATGACTTATTAATGTAATACATCTTAAAAGCAGGATTGTCCTAATGTTCTGACCAATCCATATTCCTTAGTACACTTCAACTGACTAAAATAAAATAAACAAAAATAAACTTGGGGTCATACTGCCCAGAAACTCTTATTCCTAGTCTGTGTCTAACAAACTCAGGGAAATCATAAAACAACTTATAACAACGTATTCATTGGATACCATCATATCCAGAAACCTATTCTCCCTAGTCCATACCTTTATAGCCTTAGGTCAAATATAATTGTGTACTATACTCTTTCCATTCAATTCAATTCCTCTTGGATCTCTGAACTCTTATATCCAATGCATTCTTAATGTATACTATTACTTAATATTAATCAATATAAATTATCCTTCCTTAGTTTTCTTCCTTTTGTTACCATTGTTTGTTTTACTTCACCTCGATTATAAACAAATTACTCATTATAGTTAATCTATGAAATACTATTGAACTCAATCTTTGTGGTATTAAGTAACCATGATCCTTATTTTATCGACTTCATATTTTATCTACCTCTGATACTTCTCATTCTATGTATAGGTCATAATGTAATAGTTCTCTCCATAATACTATCCTTTCGTAATTTTACTCCATGTGTTATATAGTTATAAGTAGTCTCTCTTGGTATTAATACTCATAACTGTTAAATAACTTTTCATTGTCTGTTTTCTTCATTAATATTTAGGAATATATATGTATGTTAGTGCCAATCTTTTATTTCTTTGTAAGTCTGTTAATCTTCTGTATCGAATGAACTCTGTAGAATCTTCCATCACAGTTTGCAGATCAGATGAAAAGTCTCTTTCCAACAGTCGATGTCCAGTTGTCTGAAGGAATACTTTCCTGATTTATTGCCACAAGGATCTGTCACGCTTTACCAGATCAGTTATTTCTGTCTATTTCGTTGCTTCATCCACACAGCTGCGCAGTTCTTTGCTTGGACGCTTGCCAATGTCTGCCACGTGCTTGCTTCTAGAATTCACGTTGTATCTTGTGCTTTTTGTCTCAGTTGTAGAAAATAGTCTTGTACAGTCTTTGATTTGAAAACTTTCTTTTTCTTACAAACACAGTCTAGATTCTTTTTTTTCTCTTCAAGTTTGTTTTCCCAGTTCCAAAATAGCTTTGTAACTCGATTCTTCTCTCTCCCCCCTTGAAGTGGGAACAAAACTTTGAATAGAAGACTGGCAGGCTAGCCAATGTAAAAAATGTAGATGAATGGATGTTCAATGTAATAATGTTGATTCTTCTTAATTTCTTCTCATCTTCGGTTGATTGATATATATACGTCTTTTGTATATATATTCTTGGGCCAAATGCTCGCCACAATAATATATGTCTATATTATTGAAAAGTAGTAATACTCAATCTGACTTACGGTTTCTTCAGGTTTATTCTTTGTTACGGATACATAATAAAGGATGTTACAGGATAGTGGACATTCAACAGCAGATGGTAATTGCTGGACTTCTGATGGGAGAGTTACATCGTTGTACAGAGCCAAGAGCCAAGCCAAGTGTGTGACTAAGACCTCGTGTCCCTCTGTTACTATATAGAAGTGCTAATAGTAACGTCAGCATATAACTCTAGCCATATAAGGACAAGACCCCCGAATCCACATTCCAGAGCTCTCGGACAAAGAAAGCCTTGTGACTTATTGATACCATCTGTTACTTATGTCAATCCACACATCCATATATATAATCAATAGAAACATAGAATATGCAATATTCTACAGTCCCCCCCCCTTATTGTTTTATTAGGGCCCCCACCCACTGCGCAGGGGTGGGGGCCAAGGGGGGGGGGACAGAAGTCCCCCCCCCATATCTTTATTTAGGGCCCCCACCCACCGCTCAGGGGTGGGGGCCAGGGGGGGCCAGTAGGTCCCCCCCCATCTTTATTTAGGGCCCCCACAGGCATGGGGGGGGGGGTTTATTAGTTTTTTTTGTTTTTTTTTACAGTGAGCAGCTATAAGCTGCTCACTGCTTACTACACATGCCCCTACTTGCGGTATAGCGAGAAGGGGCATTTAATTTACTAATACTAAGTAATCTTTACTCAGTATTAGTAAATGTGGCTGAAAGACCAATTTAGGTCTTTCAGCCTTTTAGTAGATAGCTCCCTGATACCGTGGGAATTAGGGAGTTATCTACTAAGCGGCTGCAAGATGCAGCCGCGGCAATGAATAGGATCGGAGTTTCATTCATTAGAATGAAATTCCGATCCGAATAAAGTGCCGAATTGCGTTCTAAAAGAAACGAACATACTGTTGTCATTCAGTTAGAACGCAATTCGGCAGTTTTGTGTAAAGTGACAGGAAGCATCGTGGGAACACAGAGGGAAGGTAAGGATCATGGGAAAATTGCTCTGAACAGCGGAAATGAAGCACACTTTGCTCCTCCGCTGGTCAGAGCTGGTCAAGCGGAGGAATCCTCCATAAGGCAAAGAGTCCCTTCTTTGTCTTATGATTTTAAAGAAAACTAAAGAAGACAGGAAGAAAAGAAGAACAGATCCTGAGAGAGGGGGAGAAGAGGAAGAGATTGAGGAAAGGTAAGTTCGGCATGACAGTGCCGCTTTAAGAGAAATTTGTTTTACAATTTATTAAATTCATGCAAAATCTATAGAATTAGATACCTTTTCTTCAAGGTCCTGTTTCTACTTTACAAACCCAGAATTGCCGTTTTCTGCAGAGAACTGTAATTAGAAATAGCATACAGCATTCAGCCAATCCAAACTAACCCATTATATTCAATAAGAGTTATAAGCAGCTCATGTCCCATAAACTCCAACTCACTAGGTACATATACACTTCATGCAATTCAGCATTATGCAGTAGAACCAATCATTACAAATATGAGCAGAACTTATACTCAACTTCAACATATTGTATAATATTTTGGGGCCTGATCAAAGCTCCCTAAACATTTACAATTGCATTTACTTCGAGTGTTATAGTGCACGTATTAACTTTTAAAAAATGGTCTGAATTCCAGTTGGTTAAATGGCAAGGAGTGGCATCAGTTTTACGCAGAGTAGCACCATGTATGTATTTATGTATGTATTTGTTACCCACTTGCCTACATGTTTAACCTGTTTACATATTTGTTTACACAGGCAAATTAAGAAACAGTTAAGCCTGCTTATCATTGCTAAACTGATGTCTAAAGACACAGGACCTCTACTATGGGTTGAAAATCTACAAGTAAGTAGTAAATATTTTGATTGTGCACAGCTTTGAATTTGGTCATATTGGCATTATTTGTGCATTTTTTTTAGTAATTTCTCAACAAATTCCAGTTTATTAACCCCTTCCCGACCGAGGACGGTTCAGGACCGTCATCGGCATTTTCCCATTGCCGACCGATGACGGTCCTGAACCGTCCTAACGGTCTTAGTTACTTACCTGATCGCCGTCGTTCCCCCGGCGGCGATCAGCGTGGCTCCGGTTGTGGGGAGACTGCCTGCAGCCCAGACAGTCTCCCCACACTGAATTAGGACCCCTGTGGCCATGTGATCGCTTAACACAGCGATCACATGGTCACAATAGGTGTCCATGTGTCTGCCTGCAGGGGGACTGCCTGTGCTGACAGGCAGTCTCCCTGCAAGTGTAAAATCAAAAAATAAAAATAAAGTTAGTGTTAATTAAAAAATAATAAAAAAAATAATAATAATTATATATGTGTATATATGATACATAGACATATATTATATCTATATAATATATGTCTATATATCATATATATAATGCCATACTAAGTGTATTTTTATATTAATATGTACTTATATTAATATAAAAATACACTTATAATTAAATTACACACGTATATATATAATATATATAATTATATATATTGTATATATATATATATATAATTATAAAATATAAATAATAAGTAATTTAAATGAAATAATTTTTTTTTAAATAATAGTAAAAAATTTAAAAAAAATTATATCTATATGAAATTTTATTCTAACTGTATTTTAAAATTAATATATATATATTTATATCAAAATACACTTAGAATGAATTTGTATATATATCTATGTATATATAAATAAATAAAAATAATACGAAATATACATATGTCCATATATAAAATTACATAAATAATTATATAAATATACACGTAGACTTAAACTATATAAATATGCATATATATTTAAATTCTATGTGCGTATTTATGTAATATTTTTACATAATTCAGTAATTTTATTGATTGCAATTTGAGGGACCTGTCTGCCAACCCAGGCCGAAATTCCAGAGAATTTAATTTGCTAGCATTGTATTTTACCCTGTAACGTTCTACGACACCCTAAAACCTGTACATGGGGGGTACTGTTTTACTCGGGAGACTTCGCTGAACACAAATATTAGTGATTCAAAACAGTAAAACATATCACAGCGATGATATTGTCAGTGAAAGTTACTTTTTTTGCATTTTTCACACACAAACAGCACTTTTACTGATGATATAATTGTTGTGATATGTTTTCCAGTTTTTAAACACTAATATTTGTGTTCAGCGATGTCTCCCGAGTAAAACAGTACCCCCCATGTACAGGTTGTATAGCTTTTTTGAAAGTTGCAAGGTCAAATATATGGGTCAAATATTTTTACATTGAAAATGGCCAGGTTGGTTACGTTGCCTTTGAGAGCGTATGGTAGCCCAGGAATGAGAATTACCCCCATGATGGCATACCATTTGCAAAAGAAGACAACCCAAGGTATTGCAAATGGGGTATGTCCAGTCTTTTTTAGTAACCACTTGGTCACAAACACTGGCCAAAATTAGCGTTCAATTTAGTTTTTTTACTTTTTTCACACACAAACAAATATGAATGCTTACTTTGGCCAGTGTTTTCGACTAAGTGGCTACTAAAAAAGACTGGACATACCCCATATTGAATACCCTGGGTTGTCTACTTTAAAAAAAATATGTACATGTGGGTGTTATTCAGAGATTTATGACAGATAATAGTGTTACAATGTCACTATTGATAAATTTTAAAAATGTATGTTTTGAAACCGCAATATCCTACTTGTACCTATAGCCCTATAACATGCAAAAAAAAGCAAAAAAGCACGTAAACACTAGGTATTTTTAAACTCAGGACAAAATTTTGAATCTATTTAGCAGTTTTTTCATTCGCTTTTGTAGATGAGTAAAAGATTTTTCAAGTAAAAGTCAAAAAACATGTATTTTTTTCAATTTTTCATCATATTTTTTTATTTTTTTTAAATTAAAATACATGAGATTATATAAATAATGGTATGTAAAGAAAGCCCCTTTTGTCCTGAAAAAAACAATATATAATTTGTATGGGAACAGTAAATGAGAAAGCGGAAAATTACAGCCAAACACAAACACCACAAAAGTGTAAAAATATGCCTGGTCGCAAATGTACAACATCACAAAAACAGTCCAGTCCTTAAGCGGTTAAACAACAAGGAAATATCTCTATATGCATTAATATATGACTGATGAATATAAAAAAAAAGTGGTTACCACAGGTATTTTTATACTATATATGTCCTTGTATCAACATTGGAAACACAAATGTATTAAATGTTTCCATTTGCAGAATATCGGAGACCATAGTTCACTTATCTACTGTAACAGAAGCTCCCTCCCCCCCTTTGTATAGATGCCCCTGCAACCTTTTGGGCCAAATTACATAGTACAGAATTCCTGGTCCTGGAAGAATTAGATGGTCTATTGAAAACCTCGCTAGCTGACCTCCTGCCCAGAGACTTATAGCCTTGCTGTTATGGACTTGGTCAGCAATCCCTGAGTAGGAATACGTGAACACTGCAATTCAAACTGGCTACTACTACTATTACTACTTTAAACATAGAAATATAGAATCTGACGGCAGATAAGAACCATTCGGCCCATCTTGCCTGCCCAATTTTCTAAATACTCTCATTAGTCCCTGGTCTTATCTCATAGCTAGGATATCCTTATGCCTATTCCCCGTATGCTTAAACTCCTTCACTGTGTTAACCTCTACCACTTCGGCTGGAAGGCTATTCCATGCATCCACTACCCTCTCAGTAAAGTAATACTTACTGATATAATTTTTAATCATTTCCCCCCTCTAATTTAAGACTATGCTCTCCTTCTTGTGGTAGTTTTTCTTCTTTTAAATATAGTCTCCTCCTTTACTGTGTTGATTCCCTTTATGTATTTAATTGTTTCTATCATATCCCCCCTGTCTCGTCTTTCCTCCAAGCTATACATGTTAAGATCTTTTAACCCTTCCTTGTAAGTTTTATCTTGTAATTCATGAACCAGTTTAGTAGCCCTTCTCTGAACTCTCTCCAAAGTATCAATATCCTTTTAGAGATACTGTCTTCAGACCTGTGCTCTACAATACTCCAAATGAGTTATCACCAGTGTTCTGTACAATGGCATGAGCACTTCCCTCTTTCTACTGCTAATACCTCTCCCTATAAATCAAGCATTCTGCTAGCATTTCTTGCTGCTCTATTACACTATCTGCCTACCTTAAGTCATCTGAAATAATTACTCTTAAATCCCTTTTGCTCAGGTGTTGAGGTTATTATTATTATATTTATATTGCGCCAACAAATTCCGTAGCGTTTTACAATGGGTGGGCTAACAAACATGTAGTTGTAACCAGACAGGTTTGACGCACAAAAACAGAGTTTTGGGACCTGCTCAATGAGCTTACATGCTAGAGGGAGAGGGTAAAGTGACACAAAAGGTAAGGAAAGTATTAGGGAAGAAGATTGGTAGAATACAGTGAAGACGTAGTGAGGGTTTTTTGTGGAGCGATTAACAGTTTAATTGATATACTTTTGTTGAAAAGTGAGTTTTTAAGAAGTTTTTTAAAGCAGTGGAGACTGAGTGAGCATCTAACAGAAAAGGGAAGGTTAGGACTGTATCAAATATTTTATACTCTGTCCTTGGGTTTTTACGCCTAAGATGCATTATCTTTAAAAGTATGCATTAAATGTCAGTTGCCACAGCTCTTACCGTTTTTCTAGTTTACCTAAATCATTTGCCATTTGGCTTATCCCTCCTGGAACATCAACCTAGTTACATATCTTTATATCATCAGCAAAAAGACATACCTCACCATCAAGACCTTCTACAATATCACTAATAAAAATATTAAAAAGAATGAGTCCAAGTACAGATCCTCGAGTTACCCAACTGGTAACAAGACCTTGCTTCGAATACACTCCATTGACAACAACCCTCTGTTGCCTGTCATTCAGCCTCTGCCTAACCTATTTAGCAATATTGGAATCCAAGGGGGCGTGACCTGGTGCTCAGGCAAGATGGCCGCTTGGCTCTGAGGCTCCCGCCACCTTGTCCTCTAAACAGCATTTAATGGGTCGGACCAAGAGAGCTGGTACTCCCAAACTACCCCGACACCCGTTGGCTGCATCACATGGATGAATTCCTGTCGACTCCATCAGCACACTCAAACACTGCGGCCTCCAGACACATGAACGAGGAGTCAGGCCCGGAGAGCCCGGGAACCTTGGTGGCTGAGACGAGGTGCACATCAACCCAGATGGAGCAAATCACCACCTCCATGTTCACCAAAGCCGATGTTGGTGCACTGGAGACCTCGCTAAAGCACACCATCCGAGGTGAAGTGACTGCAATACGCCAAAATGTCACGGCCCTGCAAGGGAGGGTCTCAGCACTTGAGACTGCCGGGGAGCGTTCAAACGCCCCACACGGTACTCCACGGGATGTTGTGTGCATGCACTCCTTCCGGCAGAAGGAGAGGATCATGAATCGGGCCAGGGAGCACCAGACCTGGCATTTCCGAAATGCCAATGTGAGCCCCCTTTGTCCCTGGAGGCTAAGCGGGCCCTAAGGCCTGTCACATACTGAGAGAGCAAAATGTGGCCTAAATCGGAAAATACCTGGGCTGCGACCAAGGCCCCGGAGGGCGTTCCGGGTTTCCTGCGGACTCTGGCCATGCCACACATTGTGGTGCAGAATTGGGTACTCCACCCCTCCAATATGCCACCCAGGGAACAGAGGACCGGCCAGCGTAGAAGAGCCGCCCACGCAAACACCACAAGTGTCGCCCTGCATTCCGGAGAAGTGAACCAGTCCCCAGCGCCGGAGCCGCCCGGAACCCAGAGGACATCTGACGGAGTGCAGAGAAGCAACATTAAATTTGAGTAAGATTAGGGCACCCTAGGGAGTTCATCTATACCGCTTGGGGTTGGGAATGTTGTGACAAACACTCCTTACCCTGGATGTTTGTCACAAACTCCTGGAGGAGCCTGCTAGCTAGCGTCCTTCCCAAGGACTATGGGCCAAATAGAAAGACCCTGTTCGGGAATTAAATCTCCCCAGCCTCCATTAGCAGCTTTCCCTGGGTGTCCTTGGTTCGGCACTTTCCCTTCATTCGAATGGAACCAAACACTAGCTCCCTGGCGGCCGTTCGCATGAAGAAACCCACAAATTGTCCTCAGTGGTACGCAATTGTTATGGAACTAAATTCATCATGAGGACTTTGTGGGTTCCTGGTCACCTCAGCGGAACTTAGCCTCATATGTTATGGAACTATTTTCGGCACAAGGGCGGTCAGAACTTTACACGGTGGCATTTCCCCTTACAGCATGGATCTGAGCGCTATTTGGAGAAATCGGGCGCTCAGATCAGGGCTATTTAAGGATGTAATTTTTGTGAGGTTGTCATATTTTTAGGATGTTTTGGGGCATTTTTATGTTTTATGCTTAGTCATCCTGACTGAGAAATTCATGGGCGTGTTGTGGGAGTGTTATAGGTGTGTTTGACAGTAACCCTGATGTGTATAAAAGCAGGCCCTCTGGCCAGAGTATTCCGGTTATACCCTTCATCAAGTCTAGGCTGATGTTTGGGTAGCTCAGAGCTTAATCACTGCTTCACTTGGGATTTGGGAGAACTATAGCAGATATACTCCGTCGTAGTATAGGGGGTCCATTACCCCTAGCGTGGGGGGTCGGGACGGGTACTCCCGTACTGGCTCTGTAGCTGCCACAACACGGACCGGCATCCTAGTCCCGGGAATATACCCAACGAGCAAACCCCAGTGCGGAGCGGTTTGGTTTGGGTGGCGGGATGCTGGTTAAACACAAGCACACCGGGATATTGTCATGATACGCATGGAGAGGACTTGGGAACAACGCAGCCCCATAAGTTGAGCGCAGTTTAGAAGGATACTTGCCCAGACGCAAACAGACACTTACAGGTTACGCGCAGGCCCTAGCAGCCAAAGTGGCGAGGGTCCTCTACTCGCCTACAGAAAGGGCAATGGGACATGCCTAATGCATACTGGGCTTGGGGCACCAAGGTTTAAGCAAAGGGACATGTATCTTCATCTACACGGTTTAAGACGTTGTCTAATGGTATTTCTCTGCTTTTGGGTAAACAAGGTCACCAAAGCCATACTCTGCCACTTGGGCTCCTTCAGATGAGGTATTTAGACGGGTCTTGTGAGGGCCCTAGACGAGAGTGCATGGGGGTTGTGAAGTCATCTGAAGATATTTAAACACATGAGGCTAGCACTCGAGTCGGGGACTCAACTTGGTACATGACCTGACTAAACAAGGTGGTGCGGGATGGGAACACCCAGATAGGAGGAAGTTGTTCCTTCATCCACCCCACAGGAGAGACGTTAACCCACCACGGCCCATTTGGGGGAGAGGTGATATGGGTGTACCAAGAGATGGGTCATCCCTCATGTACATGTGGACTGAGACAGTACACCACACATAGACCTGCCTAGGCAGATGCCACTTTTACGGAGCCGAACACAACAATACCATACACCACCACTTTACCTATGACAGAGGAGCGAATAGCAAATACATGGACACCAGCCAGGAGGTGGGAGGGTCTGCTGCTGATTGCTTGGAATGTGTCTGCTGACTGTGAGGTACAGGGTCAAAGTTTACTCAATGATGAGTCCGCGGCGAACCGTTCGGGACATCACTACTGAGGAGAGGGTTGAGGCAAAAGGAGGTTAATTTAAAAGCCTTTGCTATCTGCAATTATATATGTCCCTGCTATGCATTATTATCTTCTGGTCTCAAGTCAGAGTAGCATATCTGAACAGAGCATACAATGGTAAAGGATAAGAACAGCTTCATGTCGGTGGATCAGTCGGAGTGACTTGTTTACAGTGACTGGCATGTATCCACGTTGCTTTTCCTTTTAGTTTCACTGAGGTAGCCGTAGTCAAGAGCACTTGGAATGGACCGCCAAAGCGTGGTTCAAGTCCTTTCCTCACATGCCTCTTTATCACCACCCAATCACCAGGCTGCAGTTTGTGAGTTGCAGAATCAGAGTCTGGATCTGGAATAGAATCAAAGACTTGTTTATGCACCCTGCCTAATCTTTGGTGTAGGGCCTGTACATAGGCATTCATACTACCATGCTGCATCTGGAGGGTCTGGGGAAAATAGAGGCCTGTCTTTGGGGTACATCCTAACAGTATCTCAAAAGGGGATAGGCCATATCTAGAATTGGGTCTGAATCTCATAGAAAAGAGTGCTAGGGGAAGGCATTCAGTCTAGGGCTTCACTGTTTCTTGCATGGCTTTTGCAATCTTGTTCTTTAAGGTGCCATTTGTCCTTTCTACTTTCCCACTACTCTGGGTGTTAATAGGGGGTGTGGAAGGCCTGACTGATCCCTAAGGCTTTTATAATTTCTTGCATTATTTCCCCAGTGAAATGGCTACCTCTGTCATTTTCAATCACTCCAGGTACTCCATATCTATATACCAGTTCCTTCAGAAGCTAACTTGCTGTGACCTTCGTTGTGGCTTTCGACTCTGGGTAGGCCTCAGGCCAACCTGAAAAGAGATCAATGCACACCAGCACATATTCATACACTCCTACCTTAGGCAGTTGAATATCTGCAGTCTTTGAAGCGGGTAAAGTGGCCTTGGTGTGCTTACTTTGTGTTTTGACAGCCTGTCCTGGATTGTTTCTAGCACAAATCATGCAAGCTTGGGTGTGTTTATCTGCTACAACAGTAAATCCGGGTGCTACCCAATAGGTATTTACTTATGCTGTTCATGTGCATCTTGGATAGATGTGTAGGTCCATGGGCAATCTGGGCCATCATGGGGTACAATACTTGTGACAAACACAGTCTTTTACCTTTTCTCCACATTCTGTCATCATCGGGTTCTGCATCTTGTTTCGTCCAGAGGTCATGTTCTTCCTTGCTTGCCTGTCTTTGTAAGCTCAACAATATATTGTAGTCAACGGCGTCATCTGTAAGAACAACTTGCAGGAAGGTATTACCTGTAGAGGGATGAACTTGAATTGCTGCTTGCTTGGCAGCTTCGTCTGCTTTGTGGTTTCCTCTTGAGATTTCATCTGTGATCTTCATGTGAGCTGCCACCTTGATGATGCCTACTTGAGTGGGTAGCAGGATAGCATCCATAAGTGCACTCACGGCTTCAGAGTTCTTGATTGGAGATCCTGCTGAGGTGAGAAAATCACAGGCCCGCCATATAGGGCCAAAATCATGGGCCATAGCGAAAGTCTGTATAAATATTAGCAGTCTTACCAGAAGCCATTTTACACGCTTCAGTGAGTGCCTTCAGCTCTGCCTCCTGTGCAGAGCAGTGAGGAGTGAGTGGTTCAGCTTTTATTACCTCATGTGCAGAGACTACAGCATATCCAGTGTGGAAATTACCATTCTCATCAGCATATCTGGAACCATCTACAAAAAACTCAAAATCTGCATTAGATAATGGAGAATCAATTACATGCAAAAAACCTGTTGTTTCTTGTGCCATTAGTGCTGCACAATCATAGGGGACCTGGGCATGAATTTACAAAAAGATCAGATGTACAAGTACCATTCCCACTATCCCCACTCCCCCCTTTTAAATCCAGGGGAAGTAATGTAGATGGATTTAACACCATACATCTTTTCAGAGTAATATTAGCACTTGTAACATTAGGTGGCATAAGCAAGGCACATTGCATTCTGAGATGCCTTGCAGTATGTATGTGTTTTGGTTGAACTTGTGACAGTATGCTGTTGATATCATGTGGTGTGTATGTGGTCACCGGGTTATCTAAGACAATATCAGTGGCTTTGTCCAGGAGGGCAGTAACAGCCGCCACTGCCCTAACACATGAGGGGGCACCCCTGGCAACAGGGTCCAATCTGGTGGAGTAGTATGCTATTGGTCTTTGTTTACCACCATGGTCCTGTGTAAGGACAGATGTAGCATTTTTGGCTGCATGGGTTAATTTAAAGAGTTTGTTTTTGTTGGCGAGACAATCATACAGGGGCTGCATGTAGATTGCTGTAGAAGCCAAGGTCGGCAGTATGAATCGTAGCTGGGCTAGGCTGCAGGGGGGTGTAATAGTTTGAACTGCAGTCTGCCTCTGCCAAGAATTTCAAGAAGGAAAGAGTATTTACAATGCAAGTCTTCATATTATCGCAACATAGGATTAGGTCCTCAATATACTGCAATAAAATTACATTATTTGGCCTTGTCCACTCTTCAAGAATCTGTGCCATAGCCATGCTGTATATAGTGGGTGTGTTTTGTGCGCCCTTTGGCAATACTGTCCAAGTGTACTGCTTGTATTTATGTGTAAATGCAAATAAATACTGACTGTCAGGATCCAGGGGGACACTGAAAATGCATTTGTCAAGTCAATAACAGTAAATACCTTAGAGGAAGGTGGTATCTGTGCCAACAAGGTGTGTGGGTTGGGAACATTAGGGGCAATGAGTTCGGTTACAGCATTAATTGCCCTCAAATCATGTACCATACGGTAGACCACAGGTTTCCCTTTCTCATGCTTTTTCTTAATTGGGTACAATGATGTGTTACAGGGGGAGGTGGTC